TTAAGAGTACGATTGGCTCTTTCCACTATTGCTTGACCTTGAGGGTTGTAAGGGATACCAGTTATATGACAAATTTGATATTGCTGACAAAAGTGCTGAAAAGAAGAACTAGCATATGCGGGTCCATTGTCTGTTTTTAGCTCTAAGGGAGGTCCTAGTATTGCAAAGGCGGCTAAGCAATGATTAATTATGTGCTTGGCGCTTTCCCCTGTTTGGGGAGTCGCAAAGATAAAGCGGGAGCAGGTATCTGCATTAACATGTACCCATCTGTGCTTACCAAACTCCGGGATGTGGGTGACATCCATTTGCCAGATTTGATTAGGTCTAAGACCCCTAGGATTAACCCGTAACGATTGTACAGGGCAATGAATTACGCACTGAGGGCACTGCTTAACAATTGGACGAGCTTGCTCCCGAGAAATACGGAACTGTTTGCGCAGGGCAGCAGCATTTTGATGATGCAAAGCATGGGAGGACTGGGCAAGAGAAAATGGGGTAGCCTTTTGCATTATAGCAAGGAGGTGGTCAATAGCTTCATTTACCAGGGAGACCTGAATGAGATCGGATATGACCAATAAAGCAGGGAAATTGTCGCTCTCTAATGACCTTTCGAAGGCTGAAAAATGAATGAAAGAGTTCCTCCGAATTAGTGTGCCCTATTGAGGAGGAAACTGGTCTTGCAAGGCGTGTCAGGCCATAAAAACTGTGAACAAAGCACTGCCCTGGGGGGTGGGGTGGGGAGGTCATTATCGCTGGCCCCAGGACAGATCATCGGATATGGCCTGGGGACCTCAACACCTGGGAGCCTTCCTGTAACCCACGAAAGGGGGCAGAACCATATCTCAAGACAAAGACCCCAGAAGGTTATAAAAAGTGAAGCCCTCTGCGTGTTACTTCACTCTGATTTGGAAATTATTCCCGGAGTCCACTAGTGTTAATAAACGGGGTCCCTCCCTTTCTCTAGGAAGTGTGCTTGGTATTTCTTTGGTCTTCTGCAACACTATAGTAGCTGTTTCAATAATTTTGGCCATACTTACCACATAAGCACTATCACTATATAGGTTGATGGGCTCTGTAGCAAAATCTGTTGAGGCATAAATAAGAGCTTGTATTTCTACCCGTTGTGCTGAAATAGAAGGGGTTTGAAGGACCTTTCCCCGCCTGCTGCAGTAGTATCCAGTCTTTCCAGAACTGGATCCATCTGTAAAAATGGTTAATGCCTGAAGGTAAAGGTAGTAACTGAGAGAAATTGTAAGATTTTATTTGCAGGATAATGGTTAGTATTAATTGTTTGTGCCCTTTAATTTCTCCAGTATAGTCTGATCTATCACCCCAGGGAGGACTTGAAATCCTTTCAATGTCAAATTGCTCCTCCCTAAAATTAATCCTATCATGACCCGGAAGGGGACCATACGCTCCTGTAGCAATGGGGGTTAGTACATATCGGGAGGTGGGACTGAGGTCTGATCCTGCACTTCCTGGGCTGGCACGGTAAAAGGTTTCCAAAGTTGGTTTTGGGACCAAGCCAGCTGGAAAGGCTGCAGTGGGGTTAAGGATAAGACCCCTACTGTTTGGTGGGGCGGGGCTGGCTCTGCTTGAAGTTTCCCTGCCTACGGGGCATTAAATTATCATCAACATCAGTCCTGGAGTGGCATTCATTTACCCAATGCTTTCCTCTCCTGCATCTTGGACCTTTCCCTGAATGCAGGCTGGTCCAGTATCAGCACAGACACAGATAAAATGCTTCCATAATAAGTAATCTCCAGGTGAGAGACTAGCCTCTTCGACAATATTAAACCTCTGCTAACCTTCCACTGTCTGTCTTAGTTCCCCTGCCACATACACCTATTTCAATTTGTCAATTTAAATCAGTCTGAGATAAGGTTTATTTTCTAACTTTATTTGTCCTAGGGTGTGGACAGTAAATGACACTAATTGGATTTCTGCTATCAGTCTTTTTGAGTATATAGACACAAGCTTTGGTTAGGGAGGCAAAATTCGAGTTATTTACTTTTAAGTGTCCTTGGTTTAGGGGAGACAGGGTTTTCTAGATGGCCCCAAACCACTTGGCATTTATATTTTTTAGATGGTTGCAAACTGCTGTTACATGCAAGTCACGAAATTAGAAAATTGACTCTGTAGGTCTTTGCATACACTTAATAAAAACTTCCTTAGGATTCCTAAGGATTGAATAAATTTGTCATTTCTCCTGTAGAGAGTTTTAGATAAGATCGTAACTAATTAATGTCCTCTAACAACCTTTACAAGTCATTGAAGGTCTTGAGGCGATCCTTTCGTATTTATACCTTCTGAGGACTAATACATTGTTTTTAAGTACAGTTCCTAGGTATCTGAAGGGCATTTCCCACTGTATTTTTTTCCTAGAGCAAATCTCTAAGCCACATTTAGGGAGTTTCTTTTAAAAACTTTTACTTTCTTTTAAACAGAACAATCAACTTGGTTGCTTTTCAGAAAAACTAGTAGGAGAGAAACATGCTGGCCAATACTGCAATGCATACATCTCAAGTAAAAGTAACTTTCTTTTTCCTTATGGTGTCTCATTAATGGTGAGATTCAATGCCTGAATAATAACTTTTGGTTTACTTTGTAAATAGTAGTAGAAGAGATTTTAAAATTTCTCCTTTTTAAATTTACTTTTAACCAGTATTATTTTTGCAAATTTTACTGTGGACTTTGTTAGAACCAATTGCTTATCAGTATTTAAACAGAACACAGTTATTAATTTTTATTTGATAAAGCTTCCCACGTGATTTTGAGTATATTAGATCGGCCTAATTTAGTTTAAAAATATTTCTTTTAAGAGGAGAGAATAAATCCTTGAATCATTCCAGGGCCCTTGAAATGTCCCAAAGCTATGTCTCAGTTAAAGTCTTGAAATTTAACTTAGAAACCTCTTTCCTGAAGCCCTGAATTATCCATGTTTTACACCCAGCTAACGCACCAATCAGCTCCTTACCTTACTTCTTTAATTTGTTGCGCAGCGCACTTCTCAGAGTGACCCCCTCCTCTGACTTTTGAGAGTTCCCCTGTACTCAGGTCCCTGGATCCGGGAGCCAAATATAAATATTTCTCTTTTCCGCGTCTAGCGCTGCTAGAGCACAGTCCAGTTCCTGAGTAGGGGCTGCTGGGGATTGAGAAAATGAAAGAAAGAGATAGACACAGAGATAGAAGGAAAAAGCTGGGGCTGGGTGGGACAGCTGTCCTCTGATGGAGAGACAGTGACCCAGAGCTGATACAGGGCATTTATTTTATACAGTCTGATGAAAACAAGGGTGGATTAACATGTATACAAAGGTTCTTGTTTTGGCAACACTTGCTGCACCTCCCACAGCCCATTAGCTACTTAGGAAGGAATTAGGGAGGGCTACAAGGTCAAGTTTAATTATGCTAGCTCTGTCCTCCAGGCTGGGACTTGTTTGTGGCCCTGCCACAGGTCAGTCCGAGGCTTAATCCTATAGCCGCTCCCTACATGCCCCCTTTGGTTCTGCGTGAGCTCCTGAATCGACCTCGACTGGAAGGTGGGATCAGGTCCTCATAGCACACGACATAGACTCATTCAAAGATGCTGGTGCTTTGCAAATGGTTCGTGAGCTGTGATGTCTGCAGAGCGGTTTCTCAGCCACTGCACTGTCGGTAGGAAGAATGTTCCAATTCACATAAAAAACAACACAGGGAGCTTTGGCCCATTGGGGCCCTGCCACCGGCTCTGCCTCCTGGGTGCCATTTGGCGTCTAGCGAGAGACCAGTGCAGCAGTGAGCCGAGTGTCCACCCCGGGGGACTGAGGCCCTGGGGAAGGGCCCTGAGAAAGGGTGCACTGGGGCACAAGAACTTAGGTTCACTACTGAGGCGGCCCCCTGGACGAGCAATGTGTCTGAGACAGGAAGCAGAATAGAGGAATATCATCTTTCTCTTGCATTTAAAAATATTTGATTTCAGAAAGGAAGGGGGAGAGAGAGAGATAGAGACATCAATGATGAGAGAGAATCATTGATTGGCTGCCTCCTACCCCCCCCCCCCC